GGCTGGTAGCTCAAACATAATAGCAGTTGGAGGCTGGCCCAGGAGCGGGCGGTGTGGCCTTCTGTGGGACGTGGGGTCATGTAGTCGGAACCTAGTCCACCGACACCTAACAACTAGGCAGCAACACACTCTTTCCTGACTGGGTATGACACTTGCAGTACTTCTAGAGGGGGGATGTTTAGAGACCTTTTTCTTTTTATTCTCCTCTTGGGTGGAACCTTAGAAATCAGCTATTCAGCAGCAATGGTCAAAAGCGCCAGACCGCCCTTTGCCTCTCGGCCTTCAGTCCAGCTGTGGCGATTTGTGAGGGGTTCTGTGCACACTGATTTCAGAGTGCACAGCTGCTGGTCTTTAGCGGTCCCCCCACCCTATCCAGGGTTGAAGGTAGAGTGCAGACAGCAGCATTGGCTTCTCGTGGCCAGAGCAGACGTCCTGGCTTTTGAAGATGTTTCTACCAGCCTTTAGCACGAAGGTGAATCTTTTGCCAAATATTATTCTAGAACACCGAGTCCATAGTAAGTGTGGTGGGAAGCCATTGAAAGGGTTTTGAGAGGCATTGGCATGAGCTGAATTACAGTTCATAAGGAGCATTCTAGCTGCTGGGGGGTGGAGAGTGTGATGTAATGGCCAGAGACACAGGATTCACCCAACTTGTCACCCAGGAGAGAGACAGTGGTGGTCTGGGCGAGGGGAGTGCTTGCTAGTGTCAGGATTGTGTTTGATGTACACGTGTGTATAAATTTTAAAATTTGGGTGTGGGTGACAGTTTACAGAGCAAATTAGTTTTCCATGCAACGATTTATACTTTGCTTTGCGGTGTTACCTGCAGTCTCCTCGGTAGTAAGTTTTTTCCTACTTCCTCCTTGGGTTCCCAGTTTCTATTCATTCTTTCCTGCCCCTTCCTGCCCCTCAGTTTTTTGGGGGGGCCAGTGCTGGTGTGTTGGTGTCTAACACTTGATTGTCCTGAGGCTTCAGTTCCTCCTGGGCATTGGGGTTCACATTAGATGTCTGTCTGTTGTTCAGCTGAAATGTGATTCCCACGGAGGTTACCACAGGAAGGGAGGCTCCCTTCCAGGTGTACAGGGTGTCCAAGGATTGCAGTCTGGAGGGGTCCATCAATCTCTGTCTGACTTATAAGTCTGGTCTTTTTTTTTTCCTGTGATTTTGAACTTTGTTCTATATTTTTCTCCTGTTTGTTTTTTTCCCCCAGGACCTTCTGTTGTAAGCCTGAGCAGAGTTATGTGCTGTGTGCTATTTGCTAGCTACTCCTATTCTGAAGGGAGCCTGTATCGGAGTTGAGATTGGGTGCAGTCCTGGTTATGCCTAGTGACTTAGTAATTATGCATTGGGCTGCCAACTGCAAAGTCAGCAGATCAAAATCACCAGCTGCTCCTTGGGAGAATGATGGGCCTTTCTACTCCGATAAGAATTAAGTCTTAGAAACTAACAAGGGCAGTTCTGTTCTGCCCCATGGGGTCATTATGAGTCGACTTCAGCTTGATGGCCGTGAGATCTTGTTTTTTAGGAGATTGAGAGGAGAGAGGAAGAAGGAAATCAAGATTGACTCCTAGGTTTTTGGTCTGAAACCTTGAGGGCACCGCAGCGTCTCTTCCCGAGAATGAGCACACTGGGGGAAGCTGATGGGAGGAGGGGACCTGGAGTTCTCTTTGAGGTGTGTTCAGTGTGAGACCCCGCTGAATATGCAAAGTAGAAATGTTGATAAGCAGTTGGGTATTCAAGTCTGGCGCTTAGAAGAAAGGTCAGGACTGGAGATATGCTTCTGAGAGTTGCCATCAAACACTGTATTGATAGCCAGTTGTGAGTGAAGGAAGAAAAGCAGGTCCAGGCTGAGCCTGCAGCACTTCCAGTTGGGAGGCTGGCTGCAGAGAAGTCCAGCAGAGACAGATGGCAAGGAGCAGCTCTAAGTTTCGGTGGAAAACCAAGAGGATAGTAACCCTGAAGCCAGTGAGGGAAGAGATTTTAAACAGGAATCTTGCATTGTGAAGGGATTTGTTGACCATTTTTGTGCACTTTTTAGTAAGTGTGTGGGTGTATGTATGCACGCACAAGTGTTGTCATCGTTTAGAACCTTTGCTAACCATAATCAACCGTGACAAATTCAAATGCAAGTGAAAATAAGAACCACAATGTCTTTAAAGTGTAACCAGAAGGGCAGGGAGAGACCACTAGTGCAGCGTGGATGTCTGGATGAGCACAAAACACTTTAGGGAAAGGTTTGAGAGATGGAAGCACTGGTTTCAGAAGCCCTGTCTAGAAGCCGGGGTGGTCTGGTCTGCACTCTATGGTTGGCAGTTTGAAACGACTAGCAGCTCTGCAGGAGAAAGACAGGGCTTGTTCCTCCCACAGCAGTTATAGCCTCAGAACGCACCGCAGGTCACCAGGAGTCAGCAGTGACTCAATGACAGTGAGACTGGTGTTTTATTGACCTGGATGGAGGATATGCCAAAAAACATTGATTTCACATTTTAATGTTTTGCTTCATAAAAGTTTCTGTGGTTTTTTTATAGCCATAAAAAAAATACAACTAGAAAGTATGATTTAGTTACCCCTAGGCCTTAGTGAGGAGCCCCCGTGATGAAGAGTTAGTTCATACCTGGGCTGCGAATGGCGTAGTCAGCAGTTGAACAACGGGGGGTGGGGGGAAGACTAGGCTTTCTACTCCCACAGAGTTACAGTCTTGGAGACCCACTGGGGCAGTTTCAGCCTGGCCTACAGGGTCGCTATAAGTCAGAGTCGACTCAATGGCAATGAGAGGCCTTGGGATCATAATGGTTAAGCACCTGCCTGCTAACCAAAAGTGGGGTAGTTCAAACCTACTAGCCACATCATGGGGGAAAAATTTGGCTAGGCAGTGCTTTCTATGGGTCCCTGTGCTCCGGGACCCTTGTAATTCATAACACAGGCAATGAAGACAATAGCAGTGGCCCATATTCCTGCCTTTCTGTCACGTCTGCTGTTATTATTTTACCATTTGTTGCCTATGTATTTCACTCAGGTGTAATCATAAAACTCTAATTTCTTCCCACTTGCTCAACAAACTTCATCATTTCTAAAAGTTTGTATCCCATTGGGTTGCCAGTCCAATTTTCTATTCAGTCCCTTGCTGTTGATAGTTAGATGATTTATAAATCATCACAGTTATACAATGATATGTGCTTACACACAAAACAAAAAACCTCACCATTTAAAGTTTCTCCTATGATAAATTCTTAGAAATAGTTCACTCTTAATTGAAGGCAATAAATCAGTTCCAGCTAATGTATGCATACAAAACAGATAGGCGTGCTTCTTCCATGTGGACCAGCCTATGTGATTATGAGGTGCTGATGGGATCAGGTATCAGGCATCAAAGACTCAGAACAAAAAATCATATCATTGTGAATGAGCGGGAGGGCAGAGTAGAGACCCAAAACCCATCTGTAGACAATTGGACATCCCCTTACAGAAAGGTCACAAGGAAGAGATGAGCCAGTCAGAGTGCAGTATAGCATCTATGAAACACACAACTTTCCTCTGGTTCTTTCATGCCCCCACCCGAATATCATGATCCCAATTCTACCTTACATATTTGGCTAGACCAGAGCATGTACACAGATATAGATAGGAACTGGAAACACAGGGAATCCAGGACATATAAACCCCTCAGGACCAACAATGAGAGTAGCCATACCAGGAGGGTAAGAGGAAGGTTGGGGGACAAGGGGGAACCGATCACAATGATCTACATATAACTCCCTCCCTGGGGGACAGACAACAGAAAAGTGGGCGAAGAGAGACATCGGTCAGTGTAAGACATGAAAAAATAATAACAATTTATAAATCTTCAAGGGTTCATGAGGGAGGGAGGGAAAAAATGAGGAGCTGATACCAAGGGCTCAAGTAGAAAAAAAATGTTTTGAAAATGATGATGGCAACTGTCAGGTGAACCAGCCCCTAGCAACTATCACGGGTTCGGAGGCATCACTATGGTTATGATATATAATGATTATGGTAAAGTTGTAGAGAATAGAAGAGATAGGGGAGAGAGTAAAATGAAGAAGTCAGACACATTTCATAGTAGCATGCTCACCTCAGCCCTTCTTGGTGGTCCAGTTGGGGATGTGGGAGGAAGAGAGGCCAGGAGAGAGAGGGAGAGGGAGTGGGGAAGGAGGGAGAGAGAAGGAGGACTAGAGGAGAGAGTAATTTATTTCTAACCAAAGTTTATATATCTTTGTGGCCATGCAGGCCCCCTGATTACAGGTAACAACCTACGTCACAGGAAGGGGTTGTACCATAGGCAATGCAGCAATGGGAGGGGGACATTCTAGGGGTGTACACACAATAGGAAGAGGAAGGATTAAAGGTACACTTGTGGCAAGCTGGGCAGTTCTGAGATTCACGATGGCAGCCTAACCTGATTGTCCTTGAGCTGGAGACTTGATTTATTCTAAGCTTTCCAGGGAAGCAATACACTGCCCTCAACAATAGGGAGTGAGCCCCACCTATGGAGGGACAGATAATAGGGTCTGCTTGCTTTGGATGGCAGATTCCTGCAGGACGATAACTTGACAATCATTTACGATTAGTTGCAAGCAGTGTTCTAGGTCTGACATATTTATTTGGGGGAGACAAGCTGGAGAAAAGCTTTTTTATATCCCACAGGCAACAAATGTACAAATGTGCTTGACACAATGGATGTATGTACGGATTGGAATAAGAGCTGTATGAGCCCCCAATAAAATGATTTAAAAACAAAACAAAAACCCGGATAGATATTGTAAATGTGTTGGGGCAGTTCTCAGAACTCCGTGTCCGGGGAAGTTGTCAGGAACCATGTGGTAAGCAGCCAGTTGATTCACCTCCTGAATTTTCATCGTTCTTTCTCTTGATACGTTCATTGCTAACATTCTCTCTGTGTTGACCGTCTTTCTCTGCTCTGAGTACATGGAGAGTGCAGTTTTGCTCCACGTGGCCTGAGTCGATGTGTTCTTCCATTTCAGGGCTATACTGTTCCTCATCAACTATTTCAGTTCCAAACCTTGGGGATGGGAGAATCTGGACCCATTTGAAGAGGTATGTATGTTTGTACCGACTGTGTCAGACAGCAAAGCCTACCTAGGTGAGTGGAGGTACTCTTCTCAGGGAAGAGGGGGAGGATGTAGTGAAATGAGCCCATATTCAGTTTTCCACTTACAGTAAGGTTACATAAATTCTATTTTATGTCCATTGAAACTGCACTCCAAAAGAACAATTCCGTTAAATATTAAAAGAAAAGAGGATGTATTATTATAAAAATTTAAAAATATCTGTATTTAGATACTACAAAAAGTTGTGTAACAGTTGGTTTTGATTCATTATTACATATGAGTGATGTTTATTGGCTAGCTGAGGAGATCTATTTTACAGCCAATGTGTACTGAATATATGCTTTATGTAAGCATCATGCGGGAGGGCTTTGTAAATGCGAAGAAGAGGGTAATACAGCTGTAGTCTCAGGAATCACACAGTCTAACTGAGGTTGATTTTACCCTGAAGAAGAAATTCCTTTTGGAGTAGAATTCCTTGAGTGGGCATGTTCCATATACATTGTCTGCAAAGAGAATTAAAATTAGGGCTGAATGATTTGTGGTTCCAAGCCTTAAGGACCTTGGATTTAACTCTGATGTGCCCAACTGGAAGCTGTTTCTGCCCTGTGACTCAGTGCTGGCCTGTGAGCCTGGTGCTCACTTGGACTTTAGACTGCAGTGCATGCTCTGAAATGACCAGGGTACTTGGTTCGGTTGGAGTCTGTCTGCTGATCTGTACCGTGACCTGCTCGGTGTCTGTTGACTGTGGGTCCAGTTATTCCTCCTGCTACCTTCTTTGACAATCATGTCTAAAAATTATGCTCATCCCACTTGTTCTGATTATTACATTTTAACTCTTTTAAGCTTTAGTGTCATGTGTTCTTGGACCGATTCAGTCGATTGTTCTTGTGGATTTTTTTTTCTCTTCCCTCTTCATTGAGTGAGCAAGACCTGGGGTCTTTAAAGCCGGTGCATGCCTGTGCAAGATATAATAATGGTCTCTGCTCAACTGGAAACAGCAGAGGAATTGGAGAAGGAAATGGACTGTAGGTTTAATGACCTCTATAAACTACTACCTCCATGACCGTAAGACCAGAAGACAAGGAGAAAACAACGGGACCGACAGTTACGGGGCAACATGGGGGAGGGGGAGGTGGGGGAAAGGAAGCGGTGTTAACAAACCCAGGGACCAGGGAACAACAAGTGATCCAAATCGGTGGTGAGGAGGGTGTAGGAAGCCTGGTAGGGCATGAGCAGGGGTAATGTAACTGAGAGGAATTACAGAAACCCAAATGAAGACTGAGCATGATAGTGGGACAAGAGGAAAGTCAAAGGAAATAGAGGAAAGAGATAGGAGGCAAAGGGCATTTATAGAGGTCTAAATAAAGGCATGTACATATGTAAATATATTTATATATGAGGATGGGGAAATAGATCTATGTGCATATATTTATAGGTTTAGTATTAAGGTAGCAGATGGACATTGGGTCTCCACTCAAGTACTCCCTCAATGCAAGAATACTTTGTTCCTATTAAACTGGCATTCCATGATGCTCAACCTTTACAACACAATCGCTGAAGACAAAGTGGGTGAATAAGCAAATGTGGTGAAGAAAGCTGATGGTGCCCAGCGATCAAAAGATATAGCGTCTGGGGTCTTAAAGGCTTGCAGGTAAACTAGCAGCCATCTAGCTCAGAAGCAGCAAAACCCACATGGAAGAAGCACACCAGCCTGTGTGATTACAGGGTGTTGAAGGGATCAGGTATCAGGCATCGTCAGAACGAAAAATCCTATCATTGTGAATGAGGGGGAATGCGGAGTGGAGACCCAAAGCCCATCTATAGGCAATTGGACATCCCCTTAAGGAAGGGTCTCGGGGAGGAGAAGAGCCAGTCAGGGTGGGACATAGTAATGATGAAACATACAACTTTCCTCTAGTTCCTAAATGCTTCCTCCTCCTCCACAATCATGATTCCAATTCTACCTTACAAATCTGGCTAGACCAGAGGATGTACACTGGTACAGATAGAAACTGAAAACTCAGGAAATCCAGGATGGACGATCCCTTCAGGACCAGTGGTGAGGGTGGCGATACCGGGAGGGTGGAGGGAGGCTGGGTTGGAAAGGGGGAACCGATTACATATAACCTCCTCCTGGGGGACGGACAACAGAAAAGTGGGTGAAGGCAGACATTGGGCAGTGCAAGATATGACAAAATAATAATTTATAAATTATCAAGGGCTCATGAGGGAGGGGGGAACGGGGAGGGAGGGGGAAAATGAGGACCCAATGCCAGGGGCTTAAGTGTTAAGCAAATGTTTTGAGAATGATGAGGGCAATGAATGTACAAATGTGCTTTACACTATTGATGTATGTATGGATTGTGATAAGAGTTGTATGAGCCTCCTAATAAAATTATTTTTAAAAAAGACCAAAAGAAGTGGATAGTATGTGATTGCATTCCTGAAGGTTTTGACGTAGGACCTAACAGATGGGTCCCAATCCCGAAGGAGGCAAAAGGAGGGATCATTTCAAACTTTCGTGGAAACCAGACGTACTGGATCTTTAAAGACTTTATGAACTCCCAAAATGAAAGCTCCAAAGATAACCTTCAAATCTTGAACTCAGCCCATCCCAAGAAGCCATTCTTTAATTAAACAACAGTTATTCCGAATTCATTTAAAAATATTCGTGTTGAACATAGGTTCTTCGGAAGACTTTTATTATATGAGTTTATTCTGACAGCAGTTAACCTAAAGTGCCAATGAGAACTTTAAGGGGCAGAGAAATGAGATGAACTCCTACCAAACGGTATGCGTAGGGTTAGTGAGAATAGTGACGCATGCATGATATGTAACGTTTCAGAGGCCCCAGTAGTCGAACACTACTCATGGAGACACATTTATTAGGTCTTAAACAGGGCAAAAATGAGAGAGAGAAAAAGACACCGTGCAGGGGGATGTGGAGGAGACCGTCAGCAAGAGGCCAGCATTACCCGAGGATTCATTGAATAGCAGCCCTCACTGCCAGCAAGTCCATCCTGAGACTCATCGTGACCTACAGCAGCCCCACAGGGCAGTGTAGAACTAACTGCCCCAGTGAATTTCTGAAATGGCAAGTCTTTATGGGAATAAAAAGCCGCGTCTTTCTCCTGCAGAGTAGATGCTAACCTTGCAGTTAATAGTCCCATAAAAATAAACTTCACTGCCACTGAGTCAATGCGACTCACCAAACTTAATAGGACAGGGTAGAACTACCTCTGCAAGTTTTCTGAGACTAACCGTTAAAGGAGTAAAAAGCTCCACCGTATCATCTGCACAGTCAAATACCTTTGCACAGTCCATGAAACACAAGTAAACATCTTTTTGGTATTCTCTGCTTTCAGCCAAAACCCATCTGGCATCAGCAATGATATATCCCTTGTTCCACGTCCCTTCTGAATCCGGCCTGAACCTGTGGCAGCTCCCTGTCAATGTACTGCTGCAACTGTTGTTGGATGCTCTTAAGCACAATTTTACTTGCATGTGATATCAATGATTATGTTGTATAATTTGCACATTCTGTTGGGCCCGCTGTCTTTGGAAGGGATCCAAATATGGACCCCTTCCATTCAGTTAGTCAAGTTGTTATACAGCTCATACTACTTCAAATTCCATCGGGGCATGCCCAGGCAGGGCCCTAAGGGTAGGCTACCTCGCCCTGGTCTGGCGAGGGGAGAGGGAGTGGTAGCAATCCACTTTCAAACACTGCCTGAGGGCAAAAAGTGTTCTCCTTGCTCATGCATGGTTATAAAGAAACTCAGTGAAAGTTGAATCTCTGTGGAAACCCAAAAATGAATTCAGGGCTTTCATAGGAGACTAGCTTTCCTCAAATCCAGTGCTCAGGATTTGATTTAAGACAGTAACCAATTTTTTTTTTAACATTTTATTAGGGGCTCATACAACTGTTAGCGCAATCCATACACACATCAATTGACAGTAACCAATTTTATTAAGGTATTTATGTAGAAATTTTGAACGGATTTATGTTTGGTTGTGAATATTGCACTAAAAATAAAGGAAAGGTTAAAGAAGGAAGGGAGGGGGAAGAGGATTCTAATCTAGAAAACCCTCCAGGGCCAATCTGTTTTGTCACACGGGGTGGCTGTGATTTAGAAATCACCTTGATGTCTGTCAACAGCTACATGACTCAAATTAGTGGAATGGGAATTTACTGAGTTTTTCCAGCAAAACCTGCACATTTCAAGTATTTGCTCTTTTGCACAAATGAATCTTTTCTGTGGAATTGCACAGCTCAGAAAAGCTGATGCCTGGCAGTTGTGTGTTACCACAGTTTGGTTGGTAAGGTTGATGACTGCTCTAGTGTAATCCCTTCAGATAAGTGGATTTAACATTTGAAGTAACCTTGAACAACAACAGCCCACCTATATGCAGATCCCAGCCCCCTCCCCACCATTGTTATTGTGGCAAGGACTATCTGCTTAAATCCCATCTCCACTGGACACTTTAAATGGTTGCTTGCAGCACTGACACTAGCCACAGTAACACATGTATACGTGGTGGGCCTGCACAGTTCAAACCAGGCTGTTTAAGAGTCATGAAGTAAACAAGGATTTTTAATTGGAAGGAGAGGTCAGCCACCCATACGCCCTGTGCTGATGAAGGGTCAACACAGGGGCCCCAACATTTCAATCTAAGTGATCTGTAGATTGGGAACATTGAGGTGCCATTACATTTCTTAACTTTGGCCTCATTTGGTAACTCTACCTATTGTGGGGCCCCAACATTTCAATCTAAGTGATCTGTAGATTGGGAACATTGAGGTGCCATTACATTTATTATCCTTGGCCTCATTTGGTAGCACTACCTGGTAAACTCAAACTCACTGCCATTGAATCAGTTCTGAGTCCCAGAACCCCTAGTGGAGTGGGTACAGCTAACTGTCCCTGTGGGTTTCTGAGACTGGACACCTTTACTCGAGTAGAAAGCCCCTCGTTTCTCCCTAGT